GCTGAGTGAACTGGGTCTGTTCAGCCTTGAGAAAAGAAGAATGAGAGGGGACCTGATCCAGGTCTATAAGTATCTGAGGTGTGGGGGGCAGAATGGCGAGGCCGGACTCTGTTCAGTGGTGAGTGGAGACAGGACAAGGGGAAACGGCTGGAAACTGCAGCATAGGAAGTTCTGCACAAATGTGTGCAAGAACTTCTTTACAGTGAGGTGACGGAGCACTGGAACAGGCTGCCCAGGGAGGTGGTGGAGTCTCCTTCTCTGGAGATGTTCCAGACCTGCCTGGATGCCTACCTGTGCGACCTGCTGTAGGGAACCTGCTTTGGCAGGGGGGTTGGACTCGATGATCTCTGGAGCTCCCTTCCAACCCCTACAATTCTGTGATTCTGTGATTCTGTAACTCTTATATGTATCTGAAGAGTAGATAACAAATGGATGAGTCAGGGTTTTTCACTGGTGCCCAGAAACATGACAAGGAGCAGGAGACTATTCTGCTTCATCTTTGCTTTCCTCTGTGAAGATGAAAAAGTTCTTCTTGAATTCTGAAGGTGATAGAGCACTGGAACAGGCTTTTCAGAGATGTTGTGGAGTCTCTTTCTCTCAAAATGTTTTTAAAAAGCCTGAATGCTTTCCTATGCAATGTTTTTTAGGGAACCTGCTTTAGCAAGTCTCCAGAAGCCTCTCCTGCCCCTATGACTGGGATTTTGTGAAATGTCATGGGAAAGAGCATCAAAAACCTTATTTAGGTTGAGATAATCAGCAACTGCTGCTCTCCTCTTATCCACCAAACCAATGGTATCTTCACAGAGGATAATCAGTTGTATCAGATGTGATTTCCCTGTCATTTTAAATCAGAACTAATTGTTGGTGGATATAAATAACTAGCAGCTTTACTATCTCAGCTTCAACCTTTGGTCTGAAAAGGAAATTGAAGGAATTGGATTTTCATATTTTTTGTCTGAGCTGATCAGAGTCTTTTTCATAAACGCAGAGAGGAGTCATTTTTCCTCTATATTTGAATTTCATTCAGCATGAGGTTAGGCATCACTTCTGAATAAAAGCAGAAAGCTTAGTTGAACGCTGGAAGTCGAAGTTCAACCTGATCATTTTACAATGAGTGTTGGCCTGAGCAAGGAACAACACAGACCCCTTGGAGAAATACTACCTCATTTTCACAGTAAACAGGTGAGTGAGGAAAGGAGTTAGCATCTGAACGAACTCCTCTATTTTGCTGTTTCCCGAAGTGGACAGTCTGCTGTGGGTCGCTTTAACCTTTTTCTAGCGCTTCCTAAGAGTATAGGTCAAAGTTTAAAAACACTTGCACAAAAAAAGGCAAAACTTTTTTGTCTCCGGTCAGTTTTTGTTTGCTTCTATTTTGGATTGTTTTTGGTTTAGGTGTTTTGTTGTTGCTTTTGTTTTTTGTTTGTTTTTGTGTGTTTGGATTTTTTTTTTTTTCAGGGGGGGAGGGAGGAGGCAAGCTCTTTTTTTCTCCCCCCTCAATTCACTCTGGCATCTCATTAGGCTATGTTTTACAATTAAGGTTTTGGGAATGACTCTAAGGCTATGCACAAAAAGAAGCTTGAGAAATCTGAACACATGTGCAAGTTCATTTGGAACTGAATGTGCCTATTCTAAGAAGAAAAAAACCTGCAACTAGGGAAGATATGTAAGACATATCAGCAGCTACGCTTTTCCAAAGGAATAAGTTAACTGACTGCCCAGCCTTTTCTTGTAGACTTTATATCAAACTCTACTGCAGTAGCTGATGCTGAGATAGTGTATGGAAGAAGCTCTTATAGCTAAATAATCATGAGAAAGAAAAGTATTTTATTTAATACCCCCTGCCTTCTGTACACCTCAATCAGAGTTTTCTTCCAAAGCAGGAGTGAAATAACCCTCATTGAAATTACAGATCCAAGCCGCCAATCTTAATGTCCTTGAGCTGCACTGCATCTGCATTGATGCCTGCCCAAGCTCATGTATACCAGCTGAATAAAAGCTTTCTGTGCAGGCACTCAACTAAGCAATAAATTTCTAAAGAAAGAGGTACTGACAGGAAATAAATGGGTTTTTATGTTTTATACTGCTAGAGTTCAGGCAAAAATAATTCAAAAAGAAAGTGACATAATATTTATACTGAAGAGGCATTTCAAAGAGAGACCTGGAAATTCAATTTGAGGTTGTTAACATTTTAAGAACTCTGTTCATTACCTGGGGGAGGTAGGAGAGTGGGCATTTAGAAGTCTTTAAGCAATCGAAGTTGATATCAGAGTATCTGGGCTTTTTAGAATCTTACAGGCTGTCACTAGGTGTCAGTCTGCACCTTTGGGTTCCTATCGTTCCTTAGCAACATGTTCCTCACCACCAGCATCCCGAGTGGAATCTCTAACAGGACAAGGTGCGTCGCAAAAACCTCAAAGAACTCTGTACGTATTGTTTATTTCAGCTGCGTTTATTTCAGACCATGAAAATGCGATTGTTACAAACGAAAACACAAACATTTGGAGGAAACAGGAGTGTTCTTGAAGAGTGTTGTACTTACTGCTTATTTAGGACAACCCACAATACCATACAGCCTCAAAGCTGGAGCTGCAATGACCTTTTGCTGTGGTCACATTCCTAAGACTTTGTGCACATCAAGCACTTACAGCATGCAGGTTGGTGCCGCTGCTGTTCAACACAGCCCAGATTTCATGCACAGATAGTTACAATTCACAGCACATGTGGAACAAAACTTCTTTCTGCTTGTGCATATTGGCCAACTATGTAGCTGCAACTGCAGGTCTGGTACAAACCGACGTTTACCCAACAGCTGTGGTAAGTTGTGTCACTTTCAAATACCATATGTGTGACTTAGACTTAAGTGGCTTACCACACAGGTGATCTTTACAAAATTAGTCAGGTCTCTCTCAACGCACCCAGAGCATTTTCTTATTTGAGTGATTTCCCATAAGAAAGAGTTTTGTATATTGGACATCTGAGGCTTTCTCTGATCACCAAATCTTGCTAGGATTCTGGACTAATCGTGGGTTGTCCTCAACTATGTGCTATTTTGCTGCCACAAAACTGTGTACACTGTCATCCACAAAAACACACAAGTTTTGTCATGCTCACCACCACAGAGGATGTCTTTTAGGCAATTCACCACCTACTGAAATTCAAAGCTGTGCTTTAGATACTTATCTAAGTATACTCTAGCTTTTTATGCAGTGCACAAGAGCATTAAAGCGTCTGAGAATAGGAATTACAGATGCAGCAAACCACACAGGAACCTAGGCTGCTCAATAGCAAGAAAAGAGTGTAGTTTCAAGGTCCATTTCTCCTCTTCATTCATCCTTGCTCCTGTCTTACAGAAGTATGTTTAGGCCTGTCTGAACTCTGGATTAAGGTGTTCATGGCATCCTTCTCCTCATGCAACAGTGTAGTTATCTGCTGCCAGCAGATAACTACACTGTTATTAGGGCTTTCTCCCTAGAATGTATGAAACCCAGCTGCATTTCTTGCAAATCTTTTGACACATTAGGCTACTGGATTCTTAGGGCCTGAAAGCTCTCAGTCTGTGGAAGCCACCTCATTATGTACATCACAGAGACGTTAACTGAACCAGGATCTGGAAGCAAGGACAAGTATATAATCATAAAGTGAACCAGTTAATCATTATCCTCGAGAAGGTGAAACCTAGCATTCAGGCCTGGATCCAATTTCTCTTCTGCATTTTTCTGTACAAGAGAAACAGAACTTCCTCTCTAGGGCTCATGCCCTCATCATTATCCTACAAAATATCATTCAATGGTTTACTTTACCTTTCTGACCCTGCAACAGTGAGCATCTCATGCAATAGGAAACAGTTTCAAGCCAGAGGATTCAAGCACATCCCCAGTACTACCAAAGGTGAAAAGGAGCATTTCCTATACTGTGAGCAAGAGCTCGGCCCACTGATACACTTTTTAAGAAGGCAAGAGGAAAGAGCATAATCTGTGCATGCATCAAAGACAAGACAGGAGAAGCACGTCTGGACAAAGGGACAGGGAGAATCAGTTAAGCTTACATCCCCTCTTAACTTTGTGTGGCCTGGTACAGGGTGTTCTGTGTCAGGGTGCAGAGCTGCCTCCATGGCTTACGGTGCACACAGCAGTCAGTCCTGAGTTCAGGATCCCCATGAATCATAAACAGTGCTACAAACTTAAGTAAATTCAGGCATGCTCAGAAGCAGACTTTAGGCACAAAAAGTTTTCCAGTTAATATTTAAGTACCTACAGACTTCAACTGGCATCCAAATCAGCATTTAGGAACTTAGAGGGATTCTTGTACAGTACTTAAATGCTCCAGATCTTCTGCAGATACCTGTTGCGGGTTTGTTTGTTTGTTTGTATTTTTTTCCAGAGTCTTTGCATCTTTGTATATACATCCATCAGCTGCCAGCTCACTTTTGCTGTTCTCTAGGCTCCTTCCAAATCTCAGCATCTTCCCCGTTAGAGGCAACCAAGGCTGCAGTAAAAGTCTCTGCTGACTCGAATAAAAGAACAGTGTCTCACTGCAAGAAGCAGAACCAGCTGCTTCCAGACCAAACTGGAATTTTACAACAGGATTTATTGACATATACAGTAAACCCAAAGGATTCTGCAAGACATAATTGCTTCTAAAGGCATTGTACTTTTCTCCAAACAGAAATAGGGAGTTCGCTCTGTATCTGTGCTTAGAGGTGACAAACAGCCCTCCACAGAAATGCTTCCCCCTCACAGAGTCAAGTACACTTTGGAGTTACACTACAAGAGCGGAAAGTGGAAATAGAGGTTTTTTAAATATTGTGTTGATATTTTCAACACATTTAACCCACTTGCACTTTCAGATATTAATCAACACCTTTTGAAAAAAAAAGTTTTTCCCTCCTCTAAAAAGGAACAAAACAAAACAACCTTGACCTTTCCTTTTAAAATTTTTTACCATACTAAAAAATAAAATAAATAAATAAAAAAAAAAATTAGAAAATATATAACCTTAACATAAGAAGTTTCACAGCTTGGAACAGTTTTTTTTTTTTTTTTTTTTGTTATTTTTTTTTTAAATGCTTTTACAAGTTCATTTCAGATAAATCCCAATTTCTTCAGAACACTGGTTGGGACAGAAAATTTCTGCCCTTTTCTGGGGTGCTGAACTGCAGCTTCTTGGGCTTCTCACACTTTAGGATTTGAGATTGAGTTAACTGAAACACTGGCAAGTATCATTGCAGATCCCACAAAACTTTGTGATTTGTTTTAGCTGAAATAAGAAGTATCCTGGAGCAAACAGTTTGAAGTAGATTTTTCCCCTTTTTCTCCTTTATTTACAATTGTGCTGATCTCCTGGAGTGAACTGCCCAACAATCTGAGGCACAGAGCAGAACTTGCAGCCTCCATATGCCTGGACAGAAGCCTGCCTTGGAGCTGGGCCTGCAGGTTTCCTGCTTCAGCAGAGCTGGGGAACACGATGTTAGGAGGTGGTAGGGTGCAATTCCCTTCCCTCCAAACCCAACCAAAGCAACCCCTCTTTGTGAAGCTGCAAGTCCTGTCCCAGGCTTTCTCCTTCACTGTCCAGGATCTGTCATCCTGCTTTGTATGCCGGTAGCAGCAGATGGGATGAGGAAGCCACAAAAGAAGATCCTGCAACTATCCAAAGAGAAGCACAGCGCTCCTTCTCCCCTCTTGGTTGGTCCCTGGGAAGGGAGAAAAGAGCTGAGCCTGAACAAGCAGGAGCCCTATACCTGCTTGTCCTGGCCCCTTCATGCTCATGCCATGAGCATGAGCACAGCTGATGTTGTGGAAACAGTCTTGCTTCACCCCAACAAGCCTTACCCTCACTGGCTGACCCCACAGCCAGAGCTCCAGCAGGAGCCAGGACAAATGCAAGTAATGAAATGCATCTCTGAGAGACCTCCTGATCCCTGGCACACCACAACATCCCTTCCTCCTCCTGTTCTCCATTCTGGGGCACACTTTCAAGATAATTTTTGTCACACAGCTTCCAAGAGCAGACAACTCCAGAAAAGTTTCTCCCACCCTTGTCCACCTATCTCACCTTCCCTTGATCCTAACAGGCATTCAATGTCCCAGGGCCACATCCTGCACAGAACCCCCTCCCAGTCCCCTCCCCATGGCCATCTCAGTAGTGTTGCTCCCTGGAGGCAGCGGGCAGCATGTCACATCGGCTGCTGTACACCACCACCCCAGGCGGGTAGTAAGCCAGCTCTGGCTGGACAGCTGCAGCTGCAGAGGAAGGTGCAACAGGGTGGACAGGCACCAAGTCGTGCAGGGCTTGCTCCTCCTGCTCTGGCTTGGTGGTATCGGTGAAAGGACGCATGGTGGTGAGAGAAGGTGACGTGATCCTCCAGAGAAGGTTCTTCAGTGCCTTGCGGAACTCCCTGCGCATCAGGCAGTAGAGGATGGGGTTGAGGCAGCTGTTAGAGTGTGCCAGGCACACACTGATGGGGAAGAGGTACACCTGTGAGAGGAAGTACTCAGCACTGAAGTGCACCACATTGAGCTTGATGAGAATGCCCCACGTTGTGAGCGCTTGGTTGGGCAGCCAGCACAAGAAGAATGACAGCACCACAATGGACACTGACTTGGTCACTTTAGAGCGGCGTTTAGTGCTGGGACCACTGCAGGTGCTGCCAACATGCTTATCACTGATGAAGCGCACCAGGAGCAAGTAGCAGAGGCTGATAATGGCCAGAGGCAGCACGAAGCCCAGCAGCACCTTTTGGGTTTGGTACAGACCTAGCCAGAACTGTGCATTGCTTCCTCGGCCCTCAGGGAACTTTACAAGGCAGAGGACATCATCAAAGACGGTGGCAGTGGTGGAAAAAATGGCTTGAGGCAGAGAAGCCAGGATTGCCAACAACCAGATGAGTACACAGAGCCACTTGGCAGAGCAGCAGCCACCCAGAGGGTCACCTCGCCCCTGGTTCTTCAAGGCTGAAGCCACAGAGCGATATCGAGCCACACTCATGGCAGTGAGAAAGAAGACACTGGCATACATGTTCATGGCTGTCACATAGGAGACAATCTTACACATAGCTTTGCCGAAGAGCCAGTTGAAATCTAGGGCATTCTCCACAGCCCAGAAGGGTAAGGTCAGCACAAACTGGAAGTCAGTCACAGCCAGGCTGGTCACAAAGAGGTTGATGGAGGACTTCCTCCAGCCTTGCTTGCTCTTCATCAGGTAGAGAACCAGCAGGTTGCCCACCAGTCCCAGGGCGCACACTACAGAGTACACCAGGGAGATGACAATCCGCACCACGTCGGAGCTGTCTCCTTGCATCCCATCGGCTCGCTCCAAGTTGAGGTTCTTGAAGAGCTGCAGGAAGGACACGTTGCTCTTGTTACCCATCTGGCCGCTCTGCAGCAAATCCAGCGGTGCGTTCCAGGGATCCCGACCCGCTCCTTCTTTTATGCCGGTGGCAGCCGAGCAGGAGTCGCGCTCGCAGGGCTCATCCATCCCATGCTCGGGAGCGGCGGAAGCTCCGCTTCCCGAGCGCCAGAGAGCAAACTGTCGGAGACGACGGGCAGCGGCTGTGCCGCTTGGTGAGGCGGTGCGGCCGCCGCGCTTATATCCGCCCCCGCGGGGCCGGGGCATGCGCGGAGCTCTCCCGGGTGCTGAGTGCTGCGGCCGCGCCCCCGTTTCAGCCCCTCCTGCTCTGTGTTCCAGCCCCGGCCAGGCAGAGGTGGCCGCACGGCTCCAGCCCTTGGTTTTTAGGGAGTTCGCTCCGCTCCGCTGTCCCGCGCTGGGACGGGCGTGCGCGTCGGTAGCTACCCATGGCAAAGCGATGCTCAACCGCTTCTCCCTCCATCTCCTTAAGAAAATAAATTCTGGCCGGTGTTTTACGTTCCGGAGAGCAGCCCTGCCTTTCTGCAGCCGTCCCGAGGAGCTTGAGGAGTGCCGGTGGCGCTGATCTTTGCTTGGCGGCTCCCTTCCTTCCGAGGAAATTCTGCACGCAGCGCAGGGGCACACGATTCACAGAGCCGCGGGACGTCCCGAGGTGGAAAGGCACCCACAAGGATGAGTGAGTCCAACCCCTGGCTCCACACAGCACCACCCAAAAAACAAACCCTATGTCGGAAAGCGGCGTACAAACAGTCCTTGAGTTCCGGCAGCCCAGGGCCGTGCCCACTGCGCTGGACAGCCTGTTCCATGCCCACCGCCCTCTGGGGCAAAATCTCCTGACCATCCCCGACTCGCCCTTGACGCAGTTCCGTGCTGTTCGCTCGAGTCCTTCCAGCACCTTTCCAGCTCGGGGGAAAACACAGTGCAGTTACCGCTGCTCTTAGCGGAGCAGCCCGGCGAGGGGCTGAGGCCGCGCTGTCAGCAGCTCCGGCAGCCGCCCGCCCGCAGGGGGCCCCGGCGTACCAGAGACTTCGGGACCCCCCACTGCCCGGCACCGCGCCTGGAGGCGGCTCCGTGCAGCGGAACGGAAAGCAACTGGTGAGAAGTGAATCGGGGCTTTCCTCCTCGTCTTCCCGTGTTAAACGGAGCAAAATTAGTGCACATTTTGGAAAGAAAATAGATCCCACACGTACTTAGACATACCATACCAAGTGACCATCTTCTCTGTAGTCTCAACACAGATTTATTTTACTGAAATTCCTGCAAAAACACCAATGTGTGTGTGCCACTTGTTGCGAGTGGTCCACTTTTCACTATGTTCTACATCTGTGGTGACCTTCTGAAAGTATCAGCCAGTTAATGGAAATGCTGACAGAGAATGTGAGTAATCTGGAAGTTCTTTGCATCAACTCTATTGCACATAACAAATGAATAACTTAGTGGAATTAGTTCTGTAATTAACTGTAATGCTCTGGGGAGGTTTAGCCTCCAGATTACTTGCTCTGCTAAATACGTCGGTACTGGAGTAACAAAAATTGCAATGGGAAGTGGAGAGAAACCATAGCTGAAAATATATTGCTTTTTGTAATCCACACAGAAAAAGCTTCAGAGTGGAACAGAGGTACCTGATGAGAATATTGATACTGGATTTTGAGCTCAGGAATGCAAGCACAACATACTTGCCCAGGTCCTTTGCTCATATTCTGACCACCAGATGGATTTCTTTGTAGCTTGTAGGTTTGTCTTTTTCTTTCATCATCCTTTGCCGAAGAGGATTTGTAGAGACAGTAAAGAGAACTTGTTAGCTAGGTGAATAGTCAAAGAAATGCTCACTGTATGTTCACAATAATTTATTTGTCACATCATCAGGACATTTCTGTAGCTGGAAAATGTATAAAACGTCATCTGATTTTTTTGAAGAGGTGTTGCAACATTCTTCATGCCCAATGTTTTTTATTTTGGACAAAGCTACCTTCTACTTGCTCCATCTAAGTGCAGTAACCTTGCCAAAGACTTATCACTAACATGTGACTTTCTGGAGTCTTCTTTTTATCAAATAGTTGGTGTAGCTGGCTTTACTCAATTGACTTCTGTGAAAACCCTAACAAACTTGTTAGAATTAGGCTTCCAAGGAGTATTCTTATGACTGCAGTAAAAGTAACTGATTTGCCTACTTCTGAACTCTCAAGCAGATGGTTTAGAGCTATGTGTGAGTCTTCTGGAGTTTGTATAATGCTGTGCTGCAATAACCATTGGGCCATCTTCACTTGTTTTAAGGCAGCATTGATCTAAACAGCAAATGTAGAAGGCTGTCACCAGAGAGTTGCAGTGGCAACTGCCCCTTGGATTTAACTCTATCATGTCAGAGTGAATGTGACAGAATGAAATTTTCCCCTGCAAATGCCTCTAAAGCAACATTTAAGAGTGTTTCAGATAAATATGCCAAATAAACATTTGCTGAAAATCGTAATGTACTTGCAGTGCACCTTGAAAGATCTACATAACATTTTCACTTGCTTGGCAAACCTCTTCCAAAAATGAAGGATTGGCTATGATTACAGCAGTGGCTGAACTGGCTGTATGCAATTCTAGAGCGTCTTGGCAGAGGGAGATGGGGCTTTGTTTTCATTTTGAAAGTTTGTTGTTTCTGTTTGTTTCTTTCTGTATTTTTGAATTACAGAATGTATAATTATTTCAACTACAGAAACATTTTCAGTGGGACTGTTTCTCAGGGCATTTTTGAGGCAGTAAAATTGTTTTATGTATGTATGTATGTATGTATTCTACATACCAAAGAAAGGGCCAGAAGTATAAAGGTCTTAATGCAGTTCATTAAAAAGAGTTCATAACGCATTACTTAGATTGACTTCACACTATTCTTAAATGTTACGTTATGTTATAGTTCTGTTTCTTTCAGTTTTCTTTTCGTTTATGTATATACATATATATATGTATATATGAATATTTGTGAGAGAGGCAGAAACAGAAATGGGAAAAATGAAAGAATGTTTAACATTTATTTATTTTTCTCTGGTCTAATTTCTAGAACTTACACGGTCTCTTCTTGGCTTTTTATGAGCTCATGGCTGAGCTCTCATGCTTTCGACTACTCTCAGATAGTCAACTCTTACATTTGGAACTGCATTTTATAGCTCTGCTATCTCTATCCTGATGGTGAATATTCGGTACAATTTGGTGTGTATCCACTACAGAAAGGCATTTGTGGCAACGTGAGAGATAAATACAGATTTTCTTTCTAAATACAGATTTTTTTTCTTTCTCACTTAGATAACACAGTCATCATGTCCAAGGGTAAAATCCTTGTTAGGCTTCATGGAACATGATACACTCTCCAGAAAGTATTGCTTGAATGTAGATATAAATTGTAATGATCTATGTGGGTCCCTTCGAATTTGAGGTATTCTGTGATTTTTTTCCATGTCCTTCCCTCACTGAATTCCTACACACATCACTAAAAACATATTTTCATGACACTAATTAAAAAAAAAGTTAATTTCAAAGTGAACTACTGCTCCACAATTTTGCTTTAAATTGTTAATATAGACAGTAAGATCAAATGAGCTTTTAAATTTACATGGACAAAGTGATCATTTTGAATATTGTCTGTCCAATTACAAATAATCCAAGTTTGAACACTGGAATCTGAATGTAAACATCCCCTTTCCCCGCCTTCCCCCCCAATTCTTTTAATGCAATTACTCACTGCTTTAGAATTTGTTTCATTCTATTACTAGAATCTGCTCACAGACGTACCATAAGTGGAATGTAAGCAAATATTTTTTGCATGAGTAACTAACTTAAGAAATTCCAGAAATATTTAGAGTAGAACCGAAATGGAATGGGAGATCCAACATAGTCTATTCCAGTTACCAGAAATTAGCTGTGCTAGGAGACCGCATCTCTAACAGAGAAAGAGGGGAAAGGATTATTTTTAAAAAATGTTACCAATACTCCCATCTAATTTTGCCTCTGAAAAGAGCCAGCAAATGCACAGATGCACTCAGCATACTCTCTAGTGCCCTTGGGATTCAGAGTCATTCTCTCAAAGATTGTTACCCTGCTAATACTTTCTGGCTTTAACATGGCCCACCACAACACATGTGATCTATCTTCTTAACATTTCTAATCCAAGCAGATTCTTAAGCTGCCTGTATAGTTAACAGGCAGTCAGGCCCAGAAGATGTTTCACTCTGTACAGAACAGATGAGGATGTACTTTCTTCCAGAGGCACTCCTCTACTGACAGAAGGAGCAGACAAGCAAGCATCTATTACATGCCTTTTAGATTTCTAAACTTAGAGTAGGAGATGCTAATTCTCAATGTCTTCAGCTGGACTTCATCTTTTTGCAGCTCCTTGATGTCAAACGACATAGTTCACGGTGCTGTTCTTCAGTTTTCTTTAGCCACTGCTTTTCCACTTCTTTACACACATTTACACAAATACATGGAATTCTATACACACAGTTCTTTTATCTGAGTTCTGGAGGTCCACTCAGGGAGATAGAAGGGGGTTCAGGGATGGGTGACTTGGCAGTGTACCTTGATCGTATGTCTTGGCATTTCTGATCTCCTTTCAATAAATGTACTGGCACTGAACCACAGTACCATTGCTGTCACAGGAAAATAACTGATGTTGTGATGTGTTATTTTTCTTTTTGTAATTAAGGGTGAGTTATAAAAAGAAAAAAATAGCGCTTGCTTTCTCAAAATGTTCTAAAACCTCAGGTTATAACTCTTGGAACAAGAGACGACGACTTAATTCCTTATCATGAGATTTTAACAATTTCTTGTGAATGACAAAATAGTTTAATATGTAGGTATTCTACTTTCATAGTCCATAAGTGCACTCCTATGCTGGATCTGCTCAGGGAAGACACAGTTCTGTGAATTTGGAGCACTGAAATAGCTGGCCTCACTCTGTCTGCACAGCATGGAAGTGCTTTCTACTTGTGCCATTGCTTCACGTTTTAAGTGTCTGTCAGCCAGCACCAGAGCAACCTGCTGCTGGAATCCAGCTGTTTCCCCAGTGTATTTTCTGACACTACACCCAGTATACGTGTATGTGAGTGCTGGCACAAAGCCCAGGAAATCACAGATGTTTTGGATCAGATTCCCACAGTTCTTTTCCTCCGTTCTGTATGGCTTTTACATG